AAGTCCACATTATTCGTAATCACTAAAAAACTTTTCTCGGTTTCGTACCTTTCTCCTAGGGAGTACACAGAAATTAAGCTTCTTGGATACTTTAAAGGCACATATATACAGTCCAATTACCTTAAAAGTACTACTTTATCTCTCCTTCAAACAAAACTAGCAGAAAAAATATCAAACTAATTATTTTATGATCTTCACTCTTCAGTTATAGACTTAAAAAATAATATAGCTCTAAGTTCTAGGGGGGGGGGGTGGCTCTCCCCTTTACAGGTCTAGGTGGGCACTGTCCCCCTTGGTACCCCACCTGTGTACGCCCCTGCCTTTCTCTACCTTCATTATATCATTTATATTGGTTTGATTAGACAATGAATAAAATTGTATAAATGTATTCAACCCCTTGATGAATACGCAATAAAAGGTTTGAGAGATACAACTAATAGATGATTGATCTACGCATAAATTGACGCATAATATTGTAAACAAATGATGCGTCCGCTGTGTATTGTGGGTAACCATGGGAATCTCAGATTTGAATTCAATATTCAGCATTTCTTACAGGGTGTCTAAGAAATTGGTAATTTAAAAAAAAATTTCTAAAATTATTAATATTTTAGTTGTATCTAAATATCTCTCAAAAGAAGAAAAAACTATTTCAATACAAATTTGTATAATAAAATATATATATTAGAGGGGAATTTAGAGAATCTCTCGGTATGAATTTTTTCAGTCCCTTTCAGCCTGAATGGGAGTTTAAAGTGTACAAATCATGTAAATGTTCACAAATTATATGCAGTAGAGTACATTAATACAGTATGTTCCCTTGACTATCCATTTCAATTTCGAATTTTTAAATTTGTTAAATAAACTTTACATTGAATTAGGTGAATAAAAAAATCATTTGATTTATAGGTATAACGAAAAATCATCGTTTGTAAAGTGAAAGGTATATAGTCTATGTGAAATGATCATTGGTCAATTATAAACCAGCCTATTTCATAATTTGGTTTTCTTTTAATATTAATTTTAGATTTTCTATAAAATGATTTTCCAGGGCCCAAAAGGTTATATAGCATAAATATGTAAAGTATACCTGCAGTATGGAAACAGTACAACAAAATGGCCGTTTTACACTTTTTTCTAGTAAATTCCACTCTATTATATATTCTATTCTCTTTGGTTGTTCCTGTATTTAAAGAAAAAATGTAGTTTTTATCGTCTTAGATATTTTTTGAACTCCCTGTGTCATTATTTATTGAATAATTTCCAAAGTGAATTTAAGGGAGCCCTTTAAAAATATAAATATGAATTTAGTAAATAGGCAAATAAACAAATTTGAATAGTATAACTTAAAAAAAATGTAGTTTTTTTTAAAAATATTTTTTTCTGTAGTCTTCTCGAGTTTCTCTAACTCCATGATAATTTGAATTTGATGTGAACAATATTAGGAATTATCGGATTAATTCCGCCAACCATTGAATATTAATCATTATACACCAAATATACGATACGATTGTTGTAAAGTATGCATGGCATCTGAATCAAAGAATATATATGTAAACGTATAATTCAGTTTTTAAATTTCACATTTTATTAAAAAAGAATTATACTAATCATAATGTTTCACGTCTAATGACGATCCTCAGTATTCTTTGAACAACAGCAGCAATATGTTTAGATATGTATATTAATATAGATATATATCTATATGCATGTTTCTTTTATACAATGCGTAATTAATTATGATAAATTACACTAGCATACTCCATTAACTCTATGCAAAATTAGTTTTTGCGCATACAGGGTGTCCAAAGTTTAAATCCAAGAGAAGTTAAAATTTAAAATCTGACAACGATAATGGACAAAATCGACCTGATTTGAGTTAAAAAAATTGAATTTTACAGATTTTTCTAATCTCATAATCGTTTAGCCACCCTGTTGTAATGCTTACCTGCGTCACCAAACCAAAATTAGGTTAGAATTACATTAAGTTCTTTGAATAAATATGATTGACTGCTAACAGCAAGGTACTTATGCAAGGACAGTTAATTGCAATTGCGTATACTCTTCGTACATATTGAAACCAGTTCTATTTGGGCGGAATTTGTAAACAAGAATAGATGCATTAGTGTTTGTTTAGTATCCGAAAAGGTTAAACGCATTAGATTTTGATAATTTTGATAATTCACATAATAGTTAACTATGAAAAGAATGTTTCATATATTATTTATGTGAAAGATGGATTCCATGTCAGGCTTCAAGATCCGTCTTGTGTTTACATTGTCGCCAAGAGACAGTACACTGCAGTACAAAAGATGCTACACCTCTGAAATACCTTTCCTTGCATTATAGCCTTGGCTGATAGTATGAATTCAAAATCCGCAAATTCTGAAAATTAGAATAAATGATATATTTTACTTTAACTATTTAAAATTATTTTACATAATGCTAAAATACTAAATCTCTAAATATCCTATTTTAAAGTTTCCTATATATAGTGTTATGATTTAACTTCAACATCGTTCAACGTTATAAAGTTTTTATAAAGGGAAATTGAACTAAACACTTGCCTCAAACTCTTATTAGTTTGCAAATATTCCTTGCCACACTGGGACCAGGTTTCATGAATAGTGGAAATTAGTTGAACTGCATAGACTTAGTTCAACCACTTCTCCACTCCGCCGGTTCAAGTTAATGTGAAGTGGTTCAAACAACGTGGTTCACTAGAAAATAATAAAGTCCAAACCAAATAAGCTTCTTTACCCTAGTCTTGAGTAGGTTGAATACTGTTTCCATATATTTAACACAACAGTGTTATAATGGTATAATTAGTCCGCCTTCGATATCTATCTATTCCAATGATATCTATCTATCTATGCATCTATACTAATGTTTATCTATCTATCTATTCTAACATTGTATCAATCTATTATACATTCTCGCATACAACTGGGCATTTCATTAGTTAGCTTCTAAATATGTATATGGATGTAATTAGATTCAGATATTTATATATGTTCTATCCATCTGTAAATTCATCTATCTATCTTTTTATCTAACTATCTATCTCTTTCTGTAGTTTTTGAATTTTTATGTACAGATCCATATACAATACATAGTTAAAAATGTTATTTTTTTTCTCTGCTTTTTTGGCTCTATTTTTCCCTTTTTTAGCAAAAACTGAAAGCAGCAAGATAAAAAAAAACTTGACCCTAAAAGGTACAAGAAACAAGTATATTCAGAAATATTAGTAGAACTTTGCGATCCGTAGTTTTTATCCCAAATCAAACACGTTCATTAGGTATGTAAAAAAGATTATTTTGTATTCATACAAACAGTAAAGGAATTGATTCTTACCCACACTGATATTATAAACCCTTATCTTTGCAACTAAATATCGAAGACCTTAGATAATCAAACTATGCAATAATCTAAGTTTTGAAAATATTAAAGATGACAATTTTGCAAAGATATTGGTAATAGAAAATGTAAGTTTGTGGTAAAGATTTAATTTCATTACTTTAGTTATAATGTGACTCGACAGGCAAAAAGAAGAAATATACAAAGAATTGAAAAAAGAATAAAAAAGAATAGACACCCTAAGAATAAAAGACCATGGACCTCTGCACTAAAAAACTCTAGACAAAGACTGAAAACTGACAGACAAATCCACGTTGAGATCTCCCACTGTCTGTGCTTAGTTCCACAGTAGGATATTCAGCTTTAAATATAAAATATATCCTGCTACTCTTCTGCTACTGGTTTTCCGTTCCAAGGGACTGTAAGCATAACTTCATGTGATCATCAATGGAAAGATGGCAATCTCATATTTCCAATCAATTATATGAATTAGATATCAAAGGTTTTGTTTCTTTAAACTACTTTATTTTCGGTTTCTCTGCGAAAGTGACTAGCGCATTTCTTGTTTATAAAAAGCAATTGAGAGACTCACAGAAATTGGGATGTTAACGTTTTCATTTTTTTGAAAAACAATCGTTTTTTTTCGTTTTCCTATTGTTTTTTGTTTCGTTTTCCGATCGTTTTAGAAACTATCGTTTTTTAAAAAGTTTTTAAAACGATTCTTTTTAAAATGATCAGAAAACGAAACAAAAAACGATAGGAAAACGAAAAAAAACTATCGTTTAACGATCGTTTTCAAAAACGATTAACAACCCTACACAGAAATAAACACTTTTCGAGTAAGACAAATCAACGTATCATCCACATAGTTGATCAGATAAAGGTTTAAAAGGTACTGTTGCGAATCATTGCATGAAGGGTCACTTGATTACGCTAACAGTCCCTTTAACTAAAAGTAAAAGTTGTAAATTTTAGAAGAATGGAAAACAATGGATTGAATTTAGGTGACACAATAAAGTGTTAAGGGGGGGGGGGGTCATAATACAGGGGCAAGAGAGGGAAGAAAATTGAAACTAAGAAAGTTTGACAGAAACTAAATAAATCCTGAATTTAACAAAGATCAGTTTAATGTGATTACGGATGCTGTATTTATTTTAGCACAATTGAACTAAACCTTGGCATGCAAATATTGTTTAATTGCAAATATTGTTTAATTGCACTAAATTACAAAATTATTTTAAAACATTGAATAATTGCAGACGTCATATTTAATTAAAATCACATTACAATTTAAATTCAATATGTTGGATAATAATAGCGAATCAAATTCGCAATGATAAATACGCATTTTTTGTTTTCATTATTAATCCTTTAGTTAGATGCCATTAAAATCACAAGCTTATCAGTCGTTTTTCAATTATATTCTTAAAACTTTTCAATTTAAGCTGGATGAAAATCACACATTTTCAATATTAAAAACTGATTTGCTAAAAAGAAACAAAATAAAAAACAATAATTTGTCATTTATAAGTCATAGTTTGCGTATTTAATCGGTAGCTTAACTATTCCAGAAAAATTCTAATGTAAGAAAAATAGCTGACTCGTATTTTTATACTTTGACCTTTGTAGATATCCGAAAGTTGTTAGCTTCAGAGGTCACCAAAAAATGGATCCGTGGATTCATAAAAGTTTCGACATCTACATACAATTGTTGTTTTCTGAAATTATTTTTTCCAAATGCTATTGATGTTCCATCTACACTTGAACCCATAACCTTCAGGTAGTCCAGCTTCACTACGAAACACTAGCGCCATGCGGTTACATGTGGAAATATGATGAACATACCCAAGTCTGAAAATTAAAAAATCATAAAAACTTTTTAATAAACCTAATATATACAATTGAGTGATAAATTATAATTTTTTTTTCGATATTTTTATTTGAAAAAAAAATTGTGAGTGCTGTCCAATTTTCGGTTAACATTGTTTTGAATCTATTACTCAATTATTCAAATTTTTCTGTTGTGTATCTCCTTTAACATTCATGTGAAGGAAAAGGCATAATTTTTTAAAAGATTTTAAAAAACAATATTTTTATGCTTATAAAATTGTGGCTTTATGACGGAACAAGACCAGATTTTTTTTTACTTATAACAAATTATAAAAACGTAAAACTAGTAAAAAATCTTTTTGAAAGTTCGTTGATACTTTGTTTTTCCAAGTATTTTGACTCAAAGAAGTTCGTAGTAAGATTTCGATTCTACTGGAGACCACCGGAGGGATTTTATTTTCAGTGGAGGGGTTTCAAAAAATGCTTTTTACAATTTAAAACTTTACAAAGGGTGATTTACATTCCACTGGAGGGATTTAGATGTCCTTCCTGGGGGGTTAAAATTCCACTGGAGGGATTCAGTTATCCTTCCTAGGGGTTTATAATTCGATGGATTCAGATATCTTTCCTAGGGGTTTATAATTCCACTGGAAGGATTCAGATATCCTTCCTGGGGGTTTATAATTCCACTGGAGGGATTCAGATATCCTTCC